CAACAAAAAATAATGCAAACAATATACCATAAAAGTTGTTTTAAAAAAAACATTAAAAATCCATACACTTCATTCATGGCCGGGCCTCGCAAGATTGCAGCAGCGAGATCAATGGCCCCAGGCTTTCCAGAAAGGCCAGGTCTTCACCGCTTTCTGGAAGGCCAATAGGGTGGGGGCGGTCCGGACCTCAGGAGGTAATTGGTTCCAGAGAGCCGGGGCAGCCACAAGAAGGCCCTCCCCCGTGGGCCCGCCAGCCAACATTGTTTAGCTGACGGGACTCAGAGGAGACCAACTCTCTGGGATCTTACCGGTCATTGGGAGCTATGCGGTAGAAGGCGGTCTCGAAGATAGCCTGGCCCTAAGCCCTGTAGGTCTTTAAAGGTAATAACCAACACCTTGAATTGTGTCCGGAGACTGATAGGGAGCCAATGCAGCTCACAGAGAATTGATGTAATGTGGGTGTATCTAGGTGCACCCACAATAGCTCGTGCGGCTGCATTCTGGACCAACTGTAGTCTCCGAACACTTTTCAAGGATAGCCCCATGTAGAGCGTGTTGCAATAATCCAACCGTGAGGTGACAAGGGCATGAGTGACTGTGAGGAGAGCCTCCTGAACTAAGTAGGGTCGCAGTTGGTGCACCAGGCGAACCTGTGCAAAAGTCCCCCTAGCCACAGCTGTCAGATGTTGCTCTAATCTTAGCTGTGAGTCTAGAAGGACACCCAGATTGCGAGCCTGTTCTGAGGGGGACAATTTCTCCCCCCCTCAGGACCAGAGATGTACAATCAACATAGTCTTTAGGACGCAATACCCACAGCCATTTGGTCTTGTCTGGGTTAAGTCTGAGCCTGTTGACTCCCATCCAGACCCTCACAGCCTCCAGGCTCCAGAGTATTTTCCCTCTGATTCTGAGACTCTCCTATACTATTTCCAAAGTACTGTATATAAAATCTGTTAGGCATTGTCACCCTTTACTTTGGAGGGAAGCTAAGTGTGTGCAGTGATTCAAAACACAGTCAGCTGAGGCAGTGTCCGCACTATACGGTAGACTAAGAAACTAATATCATGAAGATATTTAAATATTTTCTATTTAAATAGTTAGAGTAACACAATCTTGAAAATCTAAAAGTACTTCCTCTGTCCTTCCCTTTATCTTTGTGTGAACTAAGGAGAGGTTTGTTTGAGGCAGTTTTTTCAAGTTATTTTTTCGACCCAGGCTCAAGCTCTGCTTATTTGACTGTTGCCTTGGTAGCAACTTTTCCTCCATCCTTCAAAGCCATTCCTTATGTCCTTTATGGATAGGATTCAGCCACGAGGACTACAAATGCTATACTGGTATAGTTTACTGTCAATTCAAAGATAGAAATTAACTCAATTTCTATCTAGGGAAAGAGTTAAATTCTATTTCTTTCTCATAAGCAATAGATACCTTTCTACAATGATAAAGAATTAAGTTTGGCAAAGAGAAAAGTGAAGTATGAAGGAGATATTTAAAAACTATTTTTCTTTTGCTGTTTTTACTGCTTGCTTCTCTAAAGAGCTTTCTTCTTTAGTTTTTTACAAAATGTCCTGGTGATATAAATTATATTCCTAGGCTCCTATCATTTGACTCTTCTGTGTTGAGATCAAGATTTATGCAACTTAATTTGCTCTGTTCTGTATTGCCAAATGGTATCTCCTTAAATGTCCATAGGCTGGCCACAGCATCATAATAGGTAACATTTGTAATGTTCCCTTATGCCTGCTTTCAGGTATCTATGTTTATGTCACACAATCCAGCTTTAATTTTGGGAAACAGATCCCTATACAAAGATAGCCACACATTCAGTAACCAGCAGTAAAGCTAATAAAGTAGTAAAGCAAATCTAAACAACAAATCTTCCCAGGAGAAATTCATTTATTGAAATAGCAACAGCTTGGGTCTACTGTGATTTATTATTGTAAAGATTGAGATTCAGCTGGTCTTTGTAATTTGAAGGGCTGGAGATTCAGCTCTAATTTCTTTGCCTCAGAATGGCTATTGGCAATTATAGTTTAATAGGACCTGTAAATGCAGTTTTTATTGCTGACTGTATTCAATCTCTGTGTTGTTAAACTAGAGATGTTAAGGGGTCTATAGTAAAGCACTCCTGAAATGCTCATGGTTCTTCTTCATCCCTTGCATTTTGTATTTTATCATCTGATGATAAAATCCTTAATAAATTATCATTGTTGGATTATTTGGATATTTTTCATAGGTTATTTTTGTTTAGTTTAGTTTAGTCTTTAACATTCAAGATGGCATTGTGAACTATTATAATAATAGTCCATAAAAACAAAGCAAATAAAATCTCAAAGTCTCTATTTAAGCATAGTATAAATCTATTAAAGTTTTGGACACCAAAAAAAAAAAAAAGAAAAAAACATAATGATTTTTAAAATGTGTAGGCTTCGGGCAGATCCTCCCAAAGAGATTTTTTTTGCAGGGATTACTGAGAAGGTCTTTACTACAATGCCAAATCTTACAGGCAGGTAGGTTCCCATGAAGAGATGATCCAAGTCATATGCTGCATATAGCCTGAGAGTTTAAAAATAGCCATTTGTGTTTTTCCTATAAATAAACATGAAACCACAACAGCTGTCTGATAATAGGCAACTTACCATTTGACCAGGTTAGAATCTTTTTGCTGAGTTAGTTGCAAAAAGCAACTTCGAAGGCACAATGCTTTAACAATTTATTGCAAGAAATTAATCTAGTTGTTCCCAAAGCATAAATAAAAGCATCCAGGCTATTTTAGTTTTGTTTTTTTAAATGGTTGGAGATGGTGGAGAAGCCTGAATCAGCATGAAGTATTTTGTTGTATTTCAGCTGGCAGCAGCATTGGTCAATCTTATCTGGACTCAAGCTAAACTGTGTTGAGCAAGATAACTACTTGGATCATTAGGAAATACCAGGGAACATGTTTTATTGAAATTCTTTAAATCACTTGTTATTTTAATGGTTTGTTGTAAAGGTTTTGAAAGATTGCCTTTTAAAAGTTAAAGTTTGACTTACTTTCCATATACAGTTGACAACATAAGCAACTAAACAATATGGTCTGTATGTGCTAATCGCTTCTAAGATACCTGCAATTTTGGTTTCTTTACATGCTGCACTTTAAATGGAAGCCAACAATTCAATTTTAAAAGATATAAAAAATGTAAATGGAATTATTTGTTATATAACTATGGAAAGAAGAGTTAGTGTGTCCAATTTTAGGAATCAATGAGTCCAGATGTTTAAAAAAGTGAACTATATTTATGATTTAAAAATGAAACTAATTCATCAGAATATTATTTCAGATCTATTGGGAACCATCAAAGAACGTTTAAAAATGGATAGACATTTAGAAATTCTTATGTTAGCAATTAAGAACATTCTTTAATTCACATGATTTGGTCTGGGTATACTGTAACTTTGTTTTCATTTCAAATTATTATTGATATGTATCAAGGATTTGCTGAAACTAAACCAGGGAGAGGCTCTTTTCATGATTACAGCTTCAGCTATATACTGCATCAAGTCATTTTACAAGGGGGCAAAAGGAACAAAACAAATGTAATTATAACCACAGTGACATATTGGAGTGGCAGGCACCAATACTATCCAGTCCCCTGCCTTTAGAGGACATGGGTTTGGAGACTGTGTCTTCATGAAGCATCTTTTGTCTTATACTCTTCAGCTCTTCTTCACCTGTTTGAGCTTTAAAGTTTTTCCTCTCCTGTGTTGAGGAAGAATAAGCAGCCTCTGATGCCTCATTAATGATGTTAGCGATGGCATAACCAGACCCAACACCCACTTGTCAAATTTGACTACTGCTGGCATGTTTCCATCCTGCCAATTGTTGGGTCATGCCCTCCATGTCTATTTTGGATTGGGGTGCGACCTGCAGAAGAGTTGATACTCTATTTCCCCAAAGGCATCTGCCTGCGCAATGTCTAACCAGCACTTCACCATGCCCTGTTCAGGCATTTTGTAGGATCCTTTTATATGTGGGTTTATATGTGGGTTTAGCATTCTTCTGGGCATATTTTTAAATAATGGATGACAGATAAACTGTATCAGTCCTTCTAAACACTATGCAGATTCGCATATGGTGACTGTGAATGCCATGACCTATAAATAGAATGTAACTGGCAATCTATTTGGACTAAGTTGTCATCCTCAAGCTTGGAAAAATATAAGCTATCACACAGCTGTGGGCTATGTAAGGCTTAATTATATGTGAGTGACAACTATGCCAAAATCTAACCTCCCATTTTGTGAAAGTTTTCTTCAATCAAAGATGCTTCTGATGTTCTTCTTGTGATTGTATGATAATGCCATTTCTTATGAATTGCATAATTAATTGTGTATCATTTTTGCAAGCCACTTAGATTTGTTTCTGATAGAAAAGGCATAAGATCAGTTGCTTGTCACATTAGAAGAATTATTCCAGAAACTCCACATTTAACCTCTGTCTGAAATGAATGACAAAAAGTGTTACATCTCAGTTGTAGAAAAATCAAAGCAGGAAATCAGTTACTTTCAAAGAGGGCTGTGAATCATTCAAAGCAAGGCATTAGTGGACAGCGGGGTTATTATAGTTGTTGCTTTTTGGCTTCCTGTTCAATGCAGCTTTTATAACAAAATATACAAGCTAATGCATTGATGCTTCCTAGGTCTACCAAGGAAAAAGAGAGAGAGAGAAAAATCCCACTATTTCTCAGGAAATAAGTCAGCTACATGTTCAGAAATTTAATTAGACATTTCCCTAGACATCTCTCTCTCTCTCTCTCTCTCTCTCTCTCTCTCTCTCTCCCTCTCTCTCTCTCTCTCTCTCTCTTTGTTTTATGCTGAAAATCATAACATGTCATTCATTATTTTCACTTCCCTTGCTAAAATACTTTCCAGACACAAATGTGTAAAGACTTGGTAGTCTAATGTCAAGTAAGCAATGTCTTGGACCCTAATTGTATTTTGTATTTTCTTTCTTCTCTTAGAAAAAAACAATTCTAAAGGGTTCAATTGAGTTATCCAAGATTAAATGTGTAGAACTTGTAAAAAGTGATGTCCCAGTTCCATGTCACTATAAATATCCTTTCCAGGTAAGTCACAACATTACAATCATCCTAAACATAACCAGTACATCAAACTTGCAAGTCATGCTTAATTCTTTTTAATTGACCAAAAGATTTAAGGGGTAAAACTGCTTAGGTGGTGAGAGGGAAACAGCTTATAGCATTTTCAGACTTGTTTCTATTTTTGATGCTAATTGGCATTTAAAAAAGAATCCAGCTGCTTTGTACAATATCTTTCTGATCAAATTTTATATATATAGTATAAACAGTATATAAAATTTAATTTTATGCACATATTCTTGCTGTTTCTTCCTTTGTCTATTTCAGCCTCTTGCTAACATTATTTTCACCTGCTGCAAAATACTTCCAATAGCATTTTTCTAATAGAAAGAAAACTCTAGAAACTCCCCACCCCATCTCCAAACACAAGTAATTAATTGGGGAGAAAACTTTTTGTTTCTTCTGGGGAATATGGGGCTTCTTTTGAGTGGGTTGTACTAAAGCAAGCCAGATATATAATAACATAAATGGCATGTGAAATCATTTTTCCCCTCAGCTGCAGCCCAAATGTTAGCTTCCTGTTTGGCAGTGAAATTAACGATCCATAGTGTGCTGCAAATATAGTGCCATTCAGAAAATCAAGAAAATTTTTTGATCCTAGTGATACAATTCATGATTGACCAAGGTATAGATAGCTTATGGTTTCTGTTTCTTACAGTTTTTTATAGTTTCTGTTTCTTAACAAATACAGAACTGAATATTTTTTGGGGAATTAAGAATTTTACAACCTCAGTTAGGTTTACTCTCTTTTAAAGAGAAAAATTATATTCCAGTCTGTGGAAATCTGTTGAAATTTTGCTAAGAAGAACTAACAATGAAATAATGGATCTTCAGTGCTTTTTATTATGTTTTATCCATTGTGTGAAAATATATGTAATTAGAATATGTATTATTTACTTTATTTACAAGTTCACTTTTCCCTCTAACATCACATTAGAAACCATTCATAGAAAGTGGGCTGATCCTGTTCAGTTTAGAATTGACTCTAAATCCTTTTTCCTCCCATCACAGATTTTTCATGACAACTATATGCTCTACATCTTTGCCCCCAACTTAGCAAGCTGCCAGAAATGGGTCATGGTTCTGAAAGAAGGTAATTTGTAACTCATCACATTGTAATACCTCAGGTCAACACCTCATTTGAAATTCAGTATATCAAGGTAACATACTGGCTAAGGTAATTAAAGGCTAAGAAATACTTATTGGACATAAGCTTTTGTGGCTTTGAAGTGACTTTTATATTCCTGTTTCCAGCTGCAGCCTTTAATTATTCTAATATCTCTTTTTAAAAAAAGTTGATGGCAAACTGTTAATGGGAAAGATTTATTTCACCTCCATATGCTGGGAATAATGTTTGAAGATGAAAGGGATATGTGTTTACCTACGTATCTAATGAAATTATATGCTCCATCAATGACTCTTTACATAATAGCACATTAAAATAAAACAAGATTGGCCCTTATTATAGCTTATTCTTCTATTATTTGTAGTAAGTACAATGGCGTGTGCACCATAATATCATGGTGAAATCTGTTCTTCAAACTTCAGGAGTTTTGTGTTTTGCTTTTTTTTAATCACAGTAAAAGTAACTTTTGCTTTTCTGACTCATGGTTAGGATGCTTTGGAATTTCATGAATACCTGCTCTCTTCTGTTTTATGGGGTAGAGGATGTAATGGAAGCAATTCTTTCCCATCAAGTGTAATCATTAAAATGACTCTCTAGGAATTTGGGAAATGGCAATCCCAATACACTTGCAGAGTATCAGATGGGGGGAAATGGTAAAAGCTGTTTATCATTATCAGGATTGCTCTGCTTGGAGTATCTGACATTTTCTCCATTTTAGAAACTAGGAACAACACCACTTTGGTGTCAAAGTTTCACCCAAATTTCTGGATAGATGGACGATGGAGATGTTGTGCTCAGCTAGAAAAGATGGCAACAGGCTGCATGGAGTATAGTCCAGCCAAGACTGGTAGGAAATTCAAAAACTTCTCTTCCAACAAGGCTTCAAGAATAATTTAAAGTACTGTTATATAAGCTATAGGACATCTGTAAAATGTGTATGAGAGAAGTTCAATAAAGCTTTATGTTTAATTCTGTTATTTTTATATAGTGGTTTGACTGCTTTGTGGTTTGGCTCAGGAGAGTGATCTGCTCACCATATGGCTTGAATCTGTAATGTGGATCTATTCATTTCCTTTGGGACTGAAGATTTCCATACTCATTGTTGTTCATCTATAAAACCAATAAATGTCTAAATGCTTAACGTCTCCATAATATGGTGCAAAGCAATGTGAAATGCCTGGAAAATCCACCTAGAATTGTTTTCTTATACTTCTTGCCCTGTGGTTGTGATGCAGTCACTCTTTAGAACATACAGTATGTGGATGGTATTGTTAGCTGGCATGCAATATATGGACTGTACATTAATTATACATCTTAAATAAGCAAAATATGTATTGCGGATTATCTACTTTAAGCACTAGGTTTCACTTTTGGATTCACTAGGATCTGTGAGTGGTTTTTCTTTCTGGTGCACAAGCCTCACTTCCTTTGCTCTGGCCTTTGTGTTTAAGGGCAATACTCTTATCCTCTTATCACCCGTGTCCCGATTGTGGGTTGCTATTGTGACCATTGCCGGTTCCTACTCCAAATAAATGGCTGTCCAGTTAGCAAAGCTGTATTCCCTTTACATTGTACAGATATGTATTGTAGGTATTTTGCAAAAAGACAGATCTGCATATATATGAAATCTTTATCACAACACCGCTGACTCCCATATATCATAAAGAAAAAAGAATACTAGGTCCAAAGAAAAATATAGCTCTCAAAAACAAATTGGGACAACATTTACAATTTTTGTGAATTGTATTTCTATTTGTAAATTGTTTTTATTTTCTATTTAATTTAGTATACTTATAATTGTGATTAATTGTGTATTTGGCAGAACTTTCAGAAGTAGTTTATACGGAGTCAAGTGCTCATTTCCTAAAATTATTTCTTAACAAAAAGTGAGACCTGTTTGCTTATAGTTTTTAGTCATGATTCTTGATCCAGTCAGTACCTTACCAATTCCCTGGGTCATTGGAGATGTTCTACTTCAGCCCATGATTTAAAAATATAGGAAACAATAAATATACAGTTACTCTGTAGTCCTTGAAGACACTCAGGTTTATAACACTCTTAATATTTTTTTTCTGTTTGGTATGCACACGTTATGTTGATTTCATATGTTTTTCTTTCCCTAGCCTCTAGTAAACCTCTACCACCTACACCGGAGAATAACATGGTGAGCATCAAGATATGGGTAGTACTAATAGAGGAGCCATCATATTGTGCCATTGAACTGAAGTTCAGTTTTTGAAATGTTATATCAAATTTTTCATCTAAAATGTGGCTTAATGATTCCAATTTTTTGTAACATTTCTAGTTAAATTTTTAGTAATAGCTCTGCAATTTGTGATGATCATATTTCAATATCCATCTTTTGAATGATCTCATATGATGCCTTCTACTATTACTTTCTAAGAATACAGCAACTAGAGCCCAATTTGGTTAAAAAATGCAAGTCTCATTCATTCAGTATCTATTTATAGACAAAAGGCATAATATTGAGCCAATTTGGTCTAGAGGTTAAGGCATCAGGATAGAAAATGGGAGAGTGTGAATTCAAGTCCTGCCATACCCATGAAATCTGGGTACCAAAATTATTTGTAAAAATAATAAAGGCAGCCCACAAATAAATAAATAATAAATTTAAAAAGGCTAGCATGCCGTGCAGTTCTAATACAGGCACAGTATATCACATAACTCTAGAAATCTCCCTTTTTTGAAATATATGATTTAACATCGCTGACATACTATATATGTAATCAAATATTTTTTGCAGTCATTTCTGCTTTTAATATGTCTTACTTTTTTTTTTACAAAAACCAGAAATTATCACTAGATACCAAGGAATCTTCAGTAGTTGCCATTTATGATTATATTGCTCAGAATCCTCAGGAACTGACATTACGATGCAATGAGGAATATTATGTTATTGATAACTCCGAAGTCAATTGGTGGTTGGTTCAGGATAAAAATGGGTAGGTCTTTAGAAAAAAGAGACCTTTTCTTTTTTACAAAATGTATGTTCTAATTCCCTCCTATATGACATTTTCTCCATATGTTGTATGTTTCTTATTCATTTTGCTTTGGATTACTGCACTATACCTTAAGTATAGTCCATGATGAATGAGACACTTATATATGTTTTGTTACATTTTTCGTTAGATGGTGTAGACATTGATATTTGGACATAGATCAGTGGTACCGAACGTGATGCCCACGCCCCACAGGGCGGCAATTTGATTTTTAATGGGGGCAATTTGGAACCTTGTTTAAACCAAGTTAATGGCCTTTTAGGTTCCTATTCCATGTGAGTAGGAGTTCACTTTTTGAATAGTATTTTAGAGATGCTTAGGTTTGGCATAGCCAAAAAAAGGTTGGGAACCACTGACATAAATCTTTTTAACATTTATATGTTATTGTCTTTTACTAATCTAAATGAAATGTTAATACTGTATATATTGCAAGCCCATGTATGATATGACATATGTGAAATAATAAATAATGATATGCTTTGAAATAAAATTGAAAGTTTTACTTTCTGTATTCAGTAAGAAATGGTGCCAATTCCATCAGCAGAAGTTTTGGTACCCTATATTCTGCTCTAACAGACAATTTTAATCAAGTCAAGTCAATTTTAATTTTAATCAAGTCATATGCTGAAGTTTCTCATCTTTTAATTGAACAACTTATTTGTTGCAGGCATGGAGGATATGTGCCAAGCAGCTACATAGTAGCAAATTCACCAGATAATCTTCAAATATATAAGTAAGAATTTGCTGCTTCTTCATACTTCAAGAGACTAAGATATAACTGAAACTCTGAATTATGTAATATTTAAATCTTAACATTAAGATGTCAATTCAATTTTTATTAGAAAAATAAACTGATAATTCTCAAGCAATGTTGAGTTAGGTTAACATTCTTTTTTTTTTTTTTCATAAGAAAGAAATGGAAATCTCAGTTTTCCTTTCCTTTTACCAGATGTGATCCTAGTCAGGACCAGCTGACCTTTGCCATCTTCTTATACTTGCTGTTGACAAGGCCTTCCAAAAGCTTGCAAGAAGGCTGTGCCCATCCTTCTCCAAATCATGCAATGCTTCAGAAGGATTTCAAAGGCACAGGCAGCCTCAGGAAGAAGGCCTGGCACAGCAAGCAGCTGCCTCACATAAGGCCAAGCATATGCCTTGTCAGCAGTGGAAGGAAAGAGATGGTGAAGGTCAGCTAGCGAAAGCAGGGTCTATGGAATGCAGGATGGTTAGAGCACCTGGTGCTTTGCACTGTGGCACTAGGGCAGCTGATTGTGCTATGGGCTTCTCAGCAGCAGCGGTGGGGTGGCGGTGCTGAGGCAGAAGTTAGAGGCCTGGTGGCAAGAGTAGCTGACTGAGACTGCCAGGTATCTAATCCAGCTTCCACTACCATCACTACCAAGGAGTGCTCCTGTACAGGGTGGCCAGAAGGACAGAGATGGGGGGAGAGTTCAAGAGGAACTCTCCTTGCCAAGCCTCGAGACTGGGGGGAACCAAGACGGGAATGGCTTAAATTGGCGTGGTCCTTGAATTGTGACTGGTTGGATTCAGTTAACAATGACAATGGGCACTGCTGGCATTCATACTGTTAATCAGTGTGGTTGTGCTTTATGATCCCATTGCTTAACAATGGAAATTCTGGTTCCAATTACCATCATAATCTGAGGACTACTGGTATCTACAAAAATATCTTTTTATTTGCCATGATATCAAACATTAATGCTGTTTATGAATTGGTTCCACTTGACACGCAACATGTTTTGCTTTGTACTTAATCATTGCAGCTGGTACAACAAGAATATCAGCCGAAACAAAGCAGAAACAATGCTCAGGGAAGAGGTAAGATAAATCCCTTTAAATGGTACCCACATTTTACTGTACTTAAATCAATGTCTTGCTTCACTTACTTGGGCATATAGGAAATTAACATTCAGTGATGTAATAAGGAAATCAAGTAGTAGTTTTGAATTGAATTGGTTAAAAACCTTTAATTTGAATTGTCCAGTTTTGGCGGTTGTCGTAAATTATAATTCCCACTCATTGATCCTTAGTCTGTCAGTTTCCATCATATGATTACTGAGCATATAAAATATAGGCAAAATCATTACCTATTCACAGCCTGAGTCTTTGGACGAAGACTGCTATTGGAAAACATGAGATACCAATACAGAACAAGCAAGAAGGAATTAGTTTACTTTTGGCGCAACTAAAATAAAAGCCAAATTCTAGCTTTCAGCTGCTTTTGAATATTTGGGGAAGCCAAAACAGCCCGACTGTTCAAATTAATTTGACAATATTACATCCCTGTTCATTCTCCATAATTTTGGGGTGTTTGGTCTGTTCCTTGTTAGACATCTTCTCATTTTCTTGCTTTCTTGTGCTTTTGCTTTGTTTTACTTTCCTTTAGGCAGATTGTGTGTGTATGTATGTGTATATTTACAAGCCTGAAGTATAAATGCCTTTATTATATGATTAACAATGGATACATTTGGTCCTCCAGTTAAAGTGCTGGGTTACCAGCAGGAAAACCCAAATATTAATCCTGCCTTAGGCACAAAGACAGTTGGGTAACTTTAGGTAAGTCCAGAGATGGGTTCAGATATTGTTACCACCAGTTCACTTTGCTTTGTGCACACCTTCTGTGCATGTGCCTAGCCTTCCGAGCATGTGCCCAGCTTTCCATGCATGTGCTTTGCTCACATGTGCACCTTCCGCGCAGGTGGCCAGCCTCAAAAATGTGGCTAAATTGGGCGGCATAGCACTGGGGTGAGTGGGTGGATCTCCGCTACCGGTTCAGGCGAACCGGTCTGAACTGGCTAAATACCACCTTTGGGCAAGTTCCTCTCTGTACAAACTACTACTGAAAAACATGTTGCCAAAAGAATTGCATTGACTTGTTCAGAAGTTCCCACAACTGGAATGAATGAATGAATACATGCATGCTTATGTAACATTTCAGACTTTAAAACTGGTCGTTTTACAGACTCCTTTGTAAATTCATTGTATTTCATCTTTCTGCAGTATAAAGAAGGAGCCTTCATGGTGAGAGACTCAAGGCAGCCTGGCACCTATACAGTCTCTGTCTTCACAAAAACATTAAAGTAAGCTAGATCTTAGGAAAGCTGGCATTTTTAAAAAAAAAATGAATTAAATAAAAATTAATATTCAATAAAACTTTGTCAGGCATTAGAAATAAATAAAAATAATTTATTGTAATATACGGATTTTTCATGACATTTTTTGCAGAACCTTCTCTTCACAATGTAATTTCTCTTCATCTTGTTTTTACATAATTTGATATTTCAAAATAAGGTATAAGTAGATGTTATGTTTAATATCCTGACTTTGTTATTAATACACTTTCTAATAATTGTTGTGCTAAAGGTCTACAATTGGAATATACTATTACTATCACTATTTTTAGGCTATAGATATTCTTGATGCCCTCTGAATTATTCATTTACTCTGCTCTGCTTGTCTGCTGCTTATTCCCCAAGGATCTGAGCAGCTAACAGTGTCAATTTATATAAAATGACCCCCTAATCCCAAATGAATTTAAAAGAGTACCGAAAAAATAAAAACCAAAACATACAAATATCCTGCACTCTCTGTAATATTACACTCTGTGTAATTGTAACACATAGAACAGGTAGCTTTTTTCACAATATTTCTAAAGCCCAAATGGATAAATATAACCAAACCTGCCAAAGAGTGTCAATGGACCCCTTACAAGGCTTCATCAGGTGACAATCCTTTAGTGATGGCACCCAGAAAGAGTTGACACTATTTAATCTGATTAAATGATGGATGAATATAGGAGGTTATCCCTCAGATAAACATACACTTCTTTTCAATATTAATTTCTAAACATTAACAGAAGGCATAATTTTGGTGTTGCTGCAACAATAAATAACTTAACATAAACAATTCCTTTTTACGACCCTATAATCCCTTAATTTGGGGTAGAGTTAGGGTGACTGGATGAACATGAGCATTTACTGGCCAAATGCCCTTCCTGATGCCTACATGGATATTTTTTCATTGCACCTTAGGAAAGAAACACCTGCTGCTACCTAGAATTGAACTCTGAACCTTCCAAGTGGCCACCACACCACTAGGCCACCACACCACTCAATAAACAATTTACATATTTCTCTAAAAAGTAGTTTTCAGAAATATTGGTTCTTTAAATAATAATCCCAGAAAACACAATTATATGTTGCTATCTCTTCCAACTATTTATAGAAATGGTCTTCATTTTTTTAATAAAATAATAGAATATTATATCATTGATGTATTTATTTCAGTGACTGTTCGTTAATCTTTCCAAAGTCTAATCTTAATAGTTTCAGCCCAAATAAAGAATTACAGTTTTTATTTTCTGTATTTTTTTCATTTTCCTAAAGATGTTAAGTGTGGCTTTTCAGAGAACATTTAAGAAGAATATATATATATAGTTCCACAGTAAAAAAAAAAAAATACTGTGGAACTATATAGGTAGCAGACTCTAATAAAGTGGTTCATAATATTTATTCTATGGTTCAAACCCGAATTGGATTGACGCTTCATGAATCATTAGTCATTTTGCCTTACTTGGACATATTTAGCTGCCTTTACATTATTTTAAAGAGGCATATTTGCTATCTTTTTAGCAATGACAATAGCCCTGTTATAAAGCACTATCACATCAAGGAGACCAGTGACAAGCCCAAGAGGTATTACTTGGCAGAGAAACATGTTTTTGATTGTATTCCGGAATTGATCAATTATCATCAGTATAATGCAGGAGGTAAGTTCAGGCAAGACAAAGGTAAGAAGATGCAGATAACTTAATTCTAAGATTCTAAAAATAGAAGGAAAAATTATCTTCACATCTGTTTTAAATAATTCCTTATTATCAAAGCTCTTGTGATAAATGAATGTCAATTTATTTAGTATCATAAAATGCTGAAAGTTTCCTGAATACTGGATCTCTTACAGGAAAACTGTATTTGCCTTCTCTTTATATGTACCCCTGTTAAGTATAACTTTGAATTATATTGAAGAGAAACTATATAAATAAATGACAATTCTTTGCTTTTCTAGATATTCTGGGAGAAATTTAATATAAAATGCTTAGCATATTCAGGTACATGGTCAAAGTGCCTATGCTCTATCACAGACCTTCCTGAAAAATTTCAAAAAATAGGAAAATTGTTTTGGTATTCTTTATTGAAGTGTCACATTGGTAACTTCATTATTTCTACATTTGATTCTAAGGTACATTCTTATAGTACATCTCCATAATTCTATTTTTATGGCCCATAATTTTTTCCCCTAAACTGCCAAAAGCTGGCACTTAATGAGGAGTCCTTGCTTTCTGGGCTTGGTTGTTTTCTTGCAGATGTTTCATTACCCAAATTAGGTAACAATATCAATGCTAGTATATCACTAGAGAGCACCAAAGACCCTTCATTTCAATCTTGGGTTACAAAAATCCCCCTGCATACTCTTACTTTTGAGTCTTTTTTTAAAATGTATTTGTACATTTCTTCAAAACACAGGTCTTGTTACTCGGTTGAGGTATGCCGTCTCCTCCTGGAGAGCAAAAGCTCCTGTTACAGCTGGATTAAGTTATGGTAAGTAAACTAGATATTTTGCTAAAGGTAATTTTACCTTGTAATTTTTTGGTTTTGAGACAAAATGAAAGTGAAACTCACTCTTTCTTTAAAATTTAAATAAGAGTAAATAAGGCAATCACAAAATTTCTTTGAATGGGAGTAAGGGTGCGGAGTATTAGAGGAGGTAATGATTAAATGAAGGGTTCCTAATCAAGTTCTTTTCACATACACAAACACTGCTACTATTGATTATATAACAATTATTATTTATTGAACAAAAGCAACTATTAGGTTGTTTTTCTTTTGCTTTTTCCTAGGCAAATGGATTATTAATCCGCAAGAACTAACATTTGAACAGGAGATTGGTGTTGGCGAGTTTGGCGTGGTTCATCTTGGCAACTGGCTTGATCGGATGAAAGTGGCCATAAAGACAATTCGCACAGGAACAATGTCAGAAGAAGACTTTATTGAAGAGGCCCAGGTCATGATGTAAGCAGTATAAACACTTACTAAACTCCCATTTTATTTATACAATGAATAATGCAGCAACATGAGTTTAAATCATTTGATGTGGCTCACATTATTATTTATTCTTAATAATTTTGATAAGCTGGACCACAAAATTTTAAAATTATTTTTATAATTAAACTTAGAATCTTCTTCCAATTTGTTTCTTCAAAGCAACACTGAATGTTGGATGAAATTAAAAGATACGATGTGATCAACACATCTCTTCTATAAATATTTACCTGAATAATTAGAATTATCAAATGAATGTTGTCTACAATTACATGTCTATGTGTGTATGAATATTAGCAAATGTGTAGTGCTTCTTAGTCTCAAGCTGACAACAGGCATTTTTACCATTAGGCAAGTCTAATGGCATAAAGCTTCTAAAGCAATGTGCATTAAATAATGGTAGTCAGTTTTTGGTTTCTCTGAGGGTTCCTTTTAGATATCTTCAGAATTTTTGCTATGTACTATTTTTGAAGTAATAAAGAGTTTCTATCATTGGCAGTCACAAAGAAACTTAAAATATGACTGCTTTGTGATTTAAAAAAAATCTTACTTACACTGTTTTGCTAAGTCTCACAAACATGACTGTATCCTAAACATGATTGGCACAATCAGGCATTAAACAATTGGGTTCTTGATTGAAGACGCTATATTGCTGTATTGTTACAAGTTCTACAAAATACAATCTCTAATACTGTTTTCAATTAAGTTTTAAGAAAATTATTTTTCTTTGAGGTGAACTTTATTCCCGGTGATTCTATGCACACATATTTAACAAGATTCTTATTTTTCAGAAAATAAAAAGTGTTAAGTGAGATTTTGTATATGTGTGAAAAGAGTAACTTCACAATTGATTTCCATTTCAAGAATTATCCATAGTGAATGAGGAAAATGTAGTGTGGTATTTACAATAATTGTATGTGTGGTATGTGTAGTGTGGTATTTACAATAATTACACTTTTCCCTTTTTCTTTCTTTCTTATATTCATCATATATCTGGCTTTCTTCTTTTATGGTATTCTTCCTCATTTTCTGTTGAAAATTCATGATTCATCTTTTTGCATCATCAGGAAACTATCTCATCCCAAATTGGTCCAGTTACATGGGATATGCATGCAAAATTCTCCTATATGTCTAGTATTTGAGTTCATGGAGTTTGGAAGTTTATCTGATTACCTGAAGAAGCAACGTGGAAGCTTATCAAAGGAAGACCTTCTTGGAATGTGTCAAGATGTGTGTGAGGGAATGGCTTATCTTGAGGAGGCATCTGTCATTCATAGAGATCTGGTATGTCTGGATCACATCTGGTTTCCCTGCAAAGAAATCTATAACATAAAAAGTCAGCATAAAAATGAAATTACTGCCATATATTATCTTTAAATTTTAATGTAAGAAGGCTTTCAGCATTTAGACCAACAGTGGGGATTGTACAACTGTGGGGATTGTGCAATATTTCTGATTATTCTTTCTATGTGAGAGTGTTAACATTTTTATTGATTTTGTTTTGTTTTGTAGTGCCCAGTAGTTTTCTATGAAAAGTAAATTTAATGTCTTCATGGGTTTGCTAATTTATTTTTGTTATTGGGTATGATAATATATGTCATGATATCACACCAAGGTTCTGTCTACAGGGCCTAGATAGAGAAGATTATAAAGGACTGGATAGACAAAAAAAAAACCAGGTTCAAAGTCCACCTTCATAAAATTGCTGGTGCTGGTGGATTATGGGACTTCCTGAATCCCGAGACTTTCCATCTTTCATTCCATATGGGATAGCATAGTCTCAAACAAAGCCAGAGCTCCATTTACAGAATCTTCTAGACTTATGACTGCTGCTCAAAAAGCAGATGACAACCAGGAATTAGGGGGCCTTTGCACAGCTTCATCTTGTGTACCAATTATACCGACTCCTGGATCAGCATGCCCTGTTCATGGTCATTCATATCCTAGTCTCTGGTGAAGTTCATTTTTTTCCTGTTCACCAGAAGATCATAAAGGGTTTTCTGTCATCAATAAATGTAGGTATTGTACAATGTGGCTCATATTATCTCTACAAATATATCTTGTATTTTCTTTCCCGCAGGCTGCTCGGAACTGTTTGGTGGGAGAATTTCAAGTTGTCAAAGTGTCAGATTTTGGAATGTCACGGTAATATAGGTTTATTCGTTATTAGCCCTATAGTTGATAAGTGGAAATCCACTACAGTTTTTTTAATTATATCCAACCTAACCCAATTCAACTTTATTATATTGGCAAAAGTTTCTAAAGCTCACCTCTGCTCTGTTTCCACAGCAATTTCTGTAACCTACTCCTCCCTTCATAGCCAGCTAAAAGGATCTCAATGCATTTTTGTATTAGTTTACCATTTGAATTTTACCACTGTTCATCTCTGCAAATCTGTAACTAGTATGAATGAAGATGGTAAGGTTCATAGTACAGCCTTTTCCAACCAGGGATTCTTCAGATAGGTTAGGATTGTAACTCCCAACATTCAAAGCCAAACCCATCTATAGGCACTACTACATTGAAGGAGGCAGCTACAGCTCATACTTGGAATGCTATATTGCAGTGATGGTTAATCTTTTTGGTGCTGAGTGCAAGCGCACATGCGCGAATGCACGTGCATGTGCCCCAATTCCCAAAATGCAATGTGACTGGCCCCCATGCGTACGCCCCACGCATGCACCCCCTGCACCCCATTTTGGCTTCCCAGGTTGATGCAGATGGCTTTCCAGGCTCAAAACAGGGCGCAGGGGGCCCTCGTGCGGTGTCCCTGCACCCCATTTTCGTTTCCAGATTGGTGGGGGCAGCAGAAATGGAGGAGAAAGCTAGGGTGTGCTGGGAAGGGAACCTGCGGAGATAGGAGAGGCCCTGTCCCCTGCACATGCATGGCAGAGACCCAAAAACCAGCTGGTTGGTGGGAGGCGCATGTGCATGTGTGGTGGAGCTGGGTTGGGGCAACGACTGGCATGCCCGCAGACAGGGCTCTGCATGCCACCTATGGCACGCATGCCATAGGTTCGCCATCACAGCTATATTGTATAGCAACTCTGCTGGCTCAGTGAGACATTAAATGTCTATGGAGATTCTCAGTCATCCAGGTCGGGGTTGTCCCAAAGGTGCTTTCTCAAGAGGCAACTGGACTTTCTGGTTTTTCTTTGAAGACATTTCGCTTCTCATCTAAGAAGCTTCTTCAGCTCTTCTTGGATGAGAAGCGAAATGTCTTCAAAGAAAAACCACAAAGTCCAGTTGTCTCTTGAAAAAGCATCTTTGGGACAGTGGGACATTAGTTCCTCAATTCTATTCTGCAATTTCTCTTCCCTTAAAACTTGCAGATCAGATTTTGAAGGTACCCAAAGGACTGTATTAGGAAAGCAAAATTATCTTCTCATAATTATGCTAATAGAAGTTCTGAAGACATGTTATTGGAGTTCACCTAATAAATGTTCCACTCACAGAAACACCCAACATCCTATCATGCATAGCTTTCTAAGATCATTTCCTACTTTGCAGACACCTTTCTATCACTTGCCAGCCAGACATATTCCAATTATATTTTATTGGTCAACTGAAGTCAGTTTCTTTCCACAGACATTACTGTTTTTCTAAAGAGGAGGATGTGAAAGAATAGCAGTACTCATAAAATCAATGATAGCATTGGTTGCAGCATAACAACAAGCCGTCTGTTTTATTTCAATAGCTTCCATAGTACTGACAGTTAAAGGGAAGCATGTCTAGAGAATGGTTAGTGTTTGATAACATGGAATGAAAGTCAATCTGTGTAACTTCAAATTGGGGTATAAATATCCCTGTTCTATTACTGCTGGTGGATCAGGTATATAAAAAAGTGGAATCTCCTATATCCGTGATGGCGAATCTGTGGCACGTGTGCCACAGGTGGCATGCGTAGCCATATTGGTGGGCACACGAGCTCAGCTACAGCGTGCATGCACATGCCAGCCAGCTGATTTTTGGGCCTTCTGGGCCCCCCAGAAGTAGGAAAACAGGATGTTTCCTGCCTCCAGAGGACCTCGTGGGGGGAGGTCCATTTTCTCTCTCCCCAGCCTCCAGAGCCTTTGTAAGAGTCTGGGGAGGGCGAAAACGGCCTTCCCCACCCACCCACCCTGGAGGCCGAAAATGGCCCATTTGCCAACTTCCAGTCCAGAGAAAGGCTCTGGAGGCAGTGGAGAGCAAAAATTGGGCCTACCGTGCCATCGCGTGCCAGGAGCGGGGGTTGCATGGGGGGGTTCGCGCATGTGTGGGGGCAGGGCACATAGAATTATGGGTGTGGGCATGCACGTGAAAACCCCACCCACCTCCGCTCCTGGCATGCAATGGCAAAAAGGTTAGCCATCACTGTCCTATATCATTATAACTCATAGTTTCAGATTAATGATTCAGTAACATTCTGAGATTTTAATCTTTTGTTTTTCATGCATGAGCATTAGAATTATGGTTTAAATACTTTAAACAAATCTATCTCTTTTAGGTATGTTCTTGATGATCAATATACCCCCTCCACGGGTACTAAATTCCCCATCAGGTGGTCAGCACCAGAGGTCTTTTCCTATAACCGCTATAGCACTAAATCGGATGTATGGTCATTTGGTAAGAGTCTTGAAGAACAAACATCCCAGTCACATAATTGCTTCAAGTTCTTATGGTTAAAAAGCTGTTCATTGTTTATCTTAACAGGTCAAGAAATTCGACCATGTTTTTGTCTTAGATGATCTCTAAAAATATTTCAATATCATTTTTAAAGTGTAAAGTATTTAAAGCCATATTTATCTTTAGAATTTTATAGAAGATATAGAGCAGGGGTGTCATCATGGTGGCATCACGTATTTTTTCCCCTTCGCTAAACTGGGCATGGGCATGACCAGCATGTGACACATCTGGCCTGTGGACTGGGAATTTGACAGTCCTGACATAGAGCAACAAAAATTTCACAAAACATGAGATCCTTCCGTAGTTCATTGTCGCTCCACATCATAGGAGTTGCATAAAAGGAGCTTTTCTGCTTCACCCTTCTGAGTCTATTTCATATTTTTTACTGGGTTATTAAATCAGCCAATCAATAATATAATCCAGAAATGAAAATGAATACATATCTATGAATGAACAGCTAAGAAGCAATTAAAATGTTAATTTATTCGGCTAAAAGGGAATCTTGGATAGAATATATAAATATATTTACAATATCTGAATGACAAAAACTTTCATTTGGTTAGAACCTAGTGCGGTTTAGCATGGGTGGCAGGATTTGGCAGGATCTTATCGTAGTCAGCAGTCAGGTATGCAGGGATTGTTTTTCCAAGAAATATCCAAAGAACTTTCTATTGCAATTAAGATTTTTGTTTTTAAAAAATTGTCCATGCTGACTGAATAAAAATCAAGTCAACTGTGGTAGGTTTCCAAGGATCCCAAGATAATCAGGTTTGTTATTTCAAGTCAATCAGAAGAACATCATTTTACATTTCAAAGACAGGTCAGATTCTTTTTGCTTCTACTTTTTTCACCTTTCCTCCTTTGGACAAGCTCTTTTGAAGCCAGGCATTTAGCAGGTTGATTCACATTGACAAATTTTGATTCAAATTAAGAAAAGGACATAGGAGATTGTCCAAATGAATTGGTGCTGTTCTTTATTTTATTTTCCTAAAATTATGGTAGCAGTGGTAGTAATAGTGATTTATTTTTTCCAGGATGACCTGTTCCCAACTTAATCCTTCAGGTCTTCCATTGGTGCATCCATTGCCACTGTGATTGAGTCCATCCACCTTGGTTATCCTTTTCTCTCTTTTTCTTCCAATTCACCCAGGATTATAGATTGCTCCGAAGAGCTAGATCTTTGCACAATATGATTAAAGATACGACAATTTGAGCATGTTCATTTGCGCCCTGAGTGAGGACTGTGGAATTGATCTGTTCAATGATTCATTTGTTTGTTTTCTTGACTATCTGTGGTGTTCTCAAAAATATTTTCCAACACCAAAGTTTAAGATCAGGAATCTTTCTGTCTTGCATTTTCAACGTTCAATTTTCACATTCATATAATGTCACAGAGACAAATATTTCCTGCACAATTCTGATGTTTGTAGTATAGAATACCTAAAAATATTCTATGAATACTTGAATGTCTAGAATAGCATCTGAATATCATTTCCAGGCCTTCATTTCTATTCTACTAAGTGCTCTTTTCTGAGGCATAAGCTATCCCACCATTTCAGTAGCTTTCTTATTAATTGCCCCTGTTGTCATCTGTATATTTAACCTTAATCCCTTTTCCATTCTCCTTTAATTCATTATTGGAACTTTCAGATCATTTGCATTTTCAGTCCCAATTTCTTTGTATTCATTTCTTTCATTCATATCCATGTTTATATTTATACCTGCTATCTTGTACATGTTTGACAAATTAATAAATACTAAATACTAAATGTTCAGCTTCTTCCAATCTAGTCTCCTTCAATGCATATTCAGCATATAGGTTGTATAAATAAGGGGCGAATACTCATCCTTGTCTCTCTCTTTTGCCAATCTGGAGCTAGTGCGGCTTCCTAATCTTTGTGTTGTTTTTGCATGAGGGCAATGGGATCTTTCAGTGTTTTTAAGTACATTCAGCACTTTGACATGATCAAAACAATGAAAGACCTTTCTATAATTCCACAAATTCTTGTTGATATTCTTTGGCTTTCTCAATTATCCAGTAATGTCTTACATTCTTCAGCTTCTTCTAAAGCCAACTTGAGCATGTGGCATCTCTTCTTCCATGTAAGCATTGTTTTGTTAGCATGGGAAGTTAAGGAGTACTTATAATACTTTGCACATTTCTTTGTTATTGATCTAAAGACTGACCTCTTCCAATCTGTTGGCCTCTATGTTGTTTTCCAGATTTGATGGTGTAGTTTGGCTAGAACCTTTACCACATCTCTTTCAGTTGTTTGCCACAATTCTATAAATATTCCATCAATTCCTATAGCCTTCCAAATTGATAATGAGGAGAGTGCTGATTTAACTTCATCTTCTAATATGGGACGATCGTGGAAGTATGGAATATCTTCTTCAGTATCTTGGATATTGATATCTCTATTGTACAAAACTTCAGTATACTCCTTCTATTTTTGTTTGACCTTTTTGGAATCAGTTACTGTTTGTCCATTGGTGTCTTTTATCACACCATTTCAAGTTGAAAATTCTTGAATTCAGAGGTTTTTGGAAGCTTTCCTTGTTTATTGATGTCTGTTTCCATAGTGCTTTTATAGATATTGTTGCAATGTTGCTTCTTGTCTCTTCTAAAAGTTTTCTGACACTTTTTGTTCTCTTCTTGGCAATTTCCATTGTTTATTCTGACAACTGGTTTGATTCATTTCTTTTCTTTTCCTTTCTTCTTTCCTTCTTTTTGTTACTTGGTCTTTGGCATTTCTTTTCACATTCATCCTTAACAATGTCTTCAAATTCATTCCACAATTCCTAAGGTTCCTTATTGGTAAGATTCAGGACTTCAAAGTGATTCCTAATGTTCTTGAAAATGATGGGTATATGGTTAAGATCATATGATGGAAACTGGTTGGTTTTCTGCTTCCATTTTAGCTTAACTTGGAACTTGAACATTACCTGTAAAGATTGTCAATGCAAGGGCTGTACAAAGTTAATTTTTCATCACTGTGGTAATTTGAAAAAGTTGCTAAAGAAGTCAGTTGCTAAATGAGGACTAGCTGTAGTAGAGGCTTCTGATTGAAAGTGTTGATTTGCTGATACTTAAAATGTCAATGTATAAGTGATTCATTTCGTTCTCCACTGTGTGGTGCTTTCCCATGTTTATGCTTCTTACATTTTATGCTCCCATTGTAATTCTATCTTTGTAGCTTCAGATTTTCTTTTCTTCCATTGAACATCACCAATTAAATGTCCTGAGGCTTTAATTTAATCATTAGTACCCTGAAAGATCCGCAGCTCTTCCTCAATAGTGTGTTGTGTGCCATGTGACCTGAGGAGGACCATCATTCGGCACTATATTGTCTTTCACATTTAATGTCTACCCTTATGCACAAGTAGTTTGATAATTGCCTTTTCCTGCAAGTATGAAATGATGCCTTTGCTGTTGTCACTAAAGTGATCGCCTGCTTCTAGCATCTTCCTCTATCACCACTGCCCAATATAGAGGCCTGCTTGTTTTAGCAAGGCAGCTGGGATGATCGCCATGCCTTAGATGACCCTATTAGGATTATATTCCCTTGACACATTTCTGGCATTCTTCACTCATCTCACCCAATAATACCTCCCTGCCTCTGCTGCCACCACAATACACAGAACAGCAGGATTAGGGAGGAGGGGGAGTGTAGTAATAGTAAGTGACAGTGAACAAACAACATATGAATATATAGTCAAAAGCAAACTCACAATCTGTTGACAATCTGGAGCCTGCTAATATTATTTCAATAGGATGACTAACTAATATGCAACCTTACATCTTAATTTGGGAGAAAGTTCCTTTAAAGTTAAACTTAATGAAACTTTCTGTAATCATATATAGGATTACATTATGAATCTCACTGAAAAAAAATGTCCATTTTAAGCAATGTATCAGAACATTAAATTATTTGAGAAAGATGGAGTGATGGACATTGTTATGCTATTCTTAATAAATTATGTCTCCTCCCTTATTTCAGGAGTATTGATGTGGGAGGTATTCACTGAAGGCAAAATTCCTTATGAGAATCGGACAAATGCTGAGGTGGTACAAGAAGTCAGTGCTGGCTTCCGTTTGTATAAACCCAGAATTGCTTCCAATACCATTTATAAACTTATGCAACATTGTTGGAATGAGGTTAGTGCATCCTATTTCATGTAAGAAAAATGTAAGAATGAAGTAATATATTCTCCATTGAGTCACACCCAACTCTTGGTGACTTCATGGACCTGACTGTACAGGGTTTTTTTGACAACAGTAAAGAAAATGTTTCTTTAAAAATGGCATTTTTTGACTTTCTATCTAGCCTATAGCCTTGGTATTTCTCTAATTGTTTCTCATGAACCCAGGGAATTTAACATTTGAAATTGGGTATGAGCTGCCATCTATAAAACCGGTTTTCAAAAAGTTTTATACATCACTAGACAATGTAGGAAAAAATAAATTAACTTGAAGCTTAAAATGTATTTTAAACTTCTAAGAAAAACAACTTATATATTAAGTTTTTAACTAGTCAAATATAATAGAAGTTTTAAAAATCTATAACATTTTGTTTGCAATTTTTTACTGGATCGTGAAGGAGAGCAAATATAATGTTAAAATGGAGTGGGATTATAACAACATAGGATATCCACCAAGATTCCAGAAGATGCTCTATCCTTGAAGATTTTCAATGATACCTTCAATAAAACCAATTGTCAATTGTCAAATTATAGTTCCAGGTGGACCTTTGCACAGGCAGTATATCTCTATTTAAGAACATTAGCTGATATTACCAAGAGTTTTTTAAGGATATAACTAAGTTATTATCTGGAAGTTTTATTATTGAAAAATATGTAATTACTGAACTACACGTACTCTTACTATGGGATAGGGACTGTCTGTAATGTTACTAAGAGCTATGGTGGCGCAGTGGTTAGAATGCAGTACTGCAGGCTACTTCTGCTGACAGCAGTTCAGCAGTTTGATTCTCACTGGCTCAAGGTTGACTCAGCCTTCCATCCTTCCGAGGTCAGTAAAATGAGGACTCAGATTGTTGGGGGTGATAGGCTGACTCTGTAAACCGCTTAGAGAGGGCTGTAAAGCCTTGTGAAGCTGTATATAAGTCTAAGTGCTAAGTGCTAAATGCTATTGCTATGACTTAGTGTCTATTAAATTATGAGTGAGCACTTGACAAGAGTTTCTATCAATGGGGAAATGCCAAAAAGATGCAAATGTTCATCTTTAACATGGAATGTAGGATTTTTTTTAAAAAAAAAAACACCATTATTTAGAATGGCTCATTTTATATTTGGATTTTAAATTATCCTTATTTAAGAATAGGGCTAAATATCTTTCTTGTAAAGTTGAACCATTCATCTAGTAGCAGAATGCTGTTACGGATTTCCCTTCTGATTTTTCCTATCAGTTATAAATGGCTTCACCTCCAGGAGTGGGGAAATCATCAATACATTTGCTACTATTATAGTCCCTTGAATTCATCAATATGCAGTGCTCATTTAAAATGCTATTTTGTTATAGACCTTTTTTTTCATTATTGCCATTCTAGTGCACTCACGTTAGCACTTAATTCTCTTTGTTTTTTTTTCTTCAGAAGCAAAACGACAGACCGCCTTTTTCTCACCTGCTCTACAACCTCAATGAAATTTCTGATTCTGATCATTAAGTATTAGTGGTTTTGAGAAGATACAAAAATATACATTTTTGTAATCATTGGGCAAATATATTCATCATCTACATCTTGAAGGAGCAACCCAACTGCCATTGAGATACTAAGAAGACTCTTGGCCTTCTGAAAGAATTGAGACCCAAGAAAGTGGATAGTACAAGATACAGAAAAGCAGTCTGGTGTGCTGTTCCCATGCCTGTTTCCATTTAATGGAATTATGATGATAGAGATGATAATGATAACAATAGCAATAATAAGCTGAAGAGATCTGTTAGAGCCTAACATGGGCTGCAGTGAAATAAGGCCTTGCATCAGATGGATTTCCCTTCTGATTTTTCCTATCAGTTATAAATGGCTTCAAGATACATTGGATCCCTCATTCACTAATTACTCTCTTATGGACAGATTCAGGAGATACCTGAACTGAAGTACAGCTGAATACATTATCTGAGACCAGTTGAAGCTTTTTATTAATTTGGAAATTTTGAAAGACAGACATTGAGCTTTTTGCCTAGAAAGAAAAGGTGGAAGATTGTAAATAAATGACTAATAGTTGCAACTTTCAATCAACAATTAAAGATTTTACCCCAAAATGATCTTTTTTTTCTAGGGCTAATCACCATTGTTTGATTGGTGTAATTATTTTTATGCAAAAAAAAAAAAAAGTTGATAACTCCCACAGATATGTTGTGTTTTTTTCTGAACCCAAATTTAGTTTTCTTAAGCTAAAGTTCATTATATGTTTTTTGTCAGTTTCATCAAAAGTTGCCACGAATATATAGAGGAATTCTGGTACATCTTCTATATATTTTGGGATTTTGAATAATGCATGGTGTAATTTACACACACACACACACACACACATCAATTACACCATGCATTATTTTTCCTAATTTTAAATTATGAATTAGTTCCTTGCAGGTATATTTGTAGTAGTATCACAGCTTCATAAAATATTATATTTATTAATAAAGGATTTTTCCTTAGTGGCATTGAATTGATATAAAACTGTGCCAAAGCAGGTTTACTAAAATTCTTTGTTTATTAACCATTTTGGAGGGGATGTACACTTCTTTATCCTAAATATTTTAGGGATGGTTTAAAATGATTGAATTCTGTTTGAAAGGGATTGCTATTGAAGGATTTTGTAGATAATTGCTGTATGTTTTATATTATGCTTATACTTTAAAAGTGTTATCCATTTTCAGTATTCAGTATATGTTTTTACGCCAGAAAATAAATAATGGTTTTATACATATTTATAAAATGTGACAGTGTAGATGTGCACTTAAAAGTCATCTGTATAATGTTTTAATTCTCTTAATGAATAATTCTAAAGTAGGAAATTTTAAAATAAATGACGTGACGTTCAAGTTATGTATGTAAAGTGCACTGTTAAATAAAATGTTCCTGATTCATCTGTGTTACATCACTCATATTCAGTTGCAATTCCAGTCATGTACTGAGAAAATTATATGTACAACCCACTGAAGTAGTCCAACTTACCCAAATGTATGTCTTTCATGTTGAAATTCAGTTCCCATAAACCCCTTCCAACATGGCAGAAGTTTATGGCAGGGAATGGAAAAGTCCATCTATGGAGGGCATCAGATTAGAGAACCACGGTTCCCCCCCACCCCTCCAGTAGCCATAGAGACACTGTAGCTTCAACTTTTTTTCAGAAGGAACTCCAGGTTCAATTTCCTTCCAAAATATTTATTGTAACAGGCTTAGTTACAGGAAGAGAAGATATTTAAGGAACGAGGGGGAAAAAGAACTTGCCTTAGTTTTAAAGAGGGCAGTCAGTTCATCTTCCACATGTAAAATACAAGTTTGCTCGGTTCGGGAATGACAAATGCAACTCTTGTTCTTTTAGTCTTTTTAAACTGAGGATGGGGAAACCCTAAGATTTTCTATTAGAATTAGATAATGGTGTGCGTGTGTGAGAGAATGTTTTTTGTTTTTTTTTTAAGTATGAATGAATCTTTGTCGGATTAACAGGTGCAAACTGTCATCGGGATAAGAGTGTGGCTTCAGCCGGCGGACGGGGGGGCATGCAGACTGGCAGGCAAGGGAGAGGCAGATTTCTTTCTCGCGGCGGGTGGAAGACGTTTTAGAGGAAGAGCTCAGGAAGTCTGCACCGGCTACAGCCCGGTCGGCTCCTGTTCTGCGTGTGGGAGAGAGGGAGGGGGAGAGAGAGAGAGATCCAAGCGGCAGCAGCAATAGAGGGAGGGGGAGGAGGCGGCGGCTGTGGCGGCGGAGGTGGAGACTGCCGAGTGGTGGCAGCGGCGGCGGTGGCGGCGGCGTCGACGCTGTAGCATCCTTGCCTCCTTCCTCCGCTGTAGCCACCGTTGAGCCCAGCCGCAAAGGCCGGGTAAAGCATCCTTCCTCTCCCGCCAGGTAAGCAACGGGACTCCTCGCTGTTTGCATTCCCGGGAACCTCGCGGATTCTTCTCGGAGAGCCATTATCGAGCACGAGGCTGGGGGGCCCGAGATTGCTGCTCCGGCGGCGGCGGGCGAGCGAGCGGGGGCTGCTTTTCGGGTTAATGAAAGACGGCAGACCTGCTGGCCACCGGGCTGGAAGCGGGGGCAGATCCTGAAGGGTGGTGGGGGAGGAAGAGACGCTAAAGCGAGAGCCAAAGCCGCAGGTGTAGCTTTGAGGAAGCGGGCGCTGGAACCGGGACTCTCCCTCGGCTGCTTCGCCGCCCATCACCCTTCATTCATCCGCCTCTGGCCTCCTCCACACAACCCTTCCGATCGCTAGGCTTGGGCGGCCTTGGGTGGGTTGACGGGTGCGAGGGAGGTGGAGGCGGCTGCCTCCAAGAGCTGGCGATGACAGCTTGGCTGCTGCAGGGCAGCTCAGCCCGAGTGGCAGAGCCTGCCCCGATTCAAGCCTTTCTGCAACAGGCTCTTAAGAGACCCCGGCTGGGGTGGAGGGGTGGAGGGGGAAGGAGGGGGCACCAGCAGGTGCGGCTGTCATTCTGCCGGGAGAGCGGGCCCTGCTAGCCCCCTCGGGAAGAAGGATTTTTACGAGCGATATCCCAGAATGCTTAGAGATACCTATGCTTATGCATCCAGAGGCCTCCTTGTTTATAAGAGTGCATCAAGCAACTGCCATGTGATCAGCCTTTTTTATTGATATCTTGCGTGGAAAAAAAAATTATGTGATCCGAGGCTGGGTTTTCCACACCATGAAAGGCTAATTGGATTTTTTTGTTAAGACAAACACACCTCAGATGGAATTAAGGGATGGCTTTGGGGGGTTAAATTAAACCGCCCGCAATTAGAGAGATAATTGGTACTTTAGTCTTTCTTTCTTTCAAAATAAAAAGGTGTGATGCATAGGAGCAAACATGTGGGGAGGGGTGAGGAATAGAAAATGCTCAAAGGAAATGGAATCGCAGCAGGTGTATTTTCCAACTTGAAAAATACAAAAAGATGCTTGGGTGGTTAAATATGAAAAATAAACATAGTTATCTAAGTCATGCTTATTCGAACAGTTTCTCTATCATCTTGTTCTTAATGGAGTCTTTAAACAAAAGGTTAGGCCAATGGGGAATTTGGACTAGAATTTCAGAATTGGAATCTGAAATTGGCTACATCAAATTATTATTTTTATGTGTTATTTAAATGCTATCCTTGGGGATACCTCAAATAATACTATGTAGCATCAAATTCCTTGTGCCAAACAACAGCTAGATAAGGTTTGCAATGAATTGTACTGTCAATCACAGCTGAGTTCTCTGAAATAAAAAGGGAACCAGACATATAGAAAGGAATGGCCTAGTGTAGTTTCATTAGGCTGTTTTAAAGATAGCCCCTGTGAAAGTTAAGCAACCCAGATTTTGGAGTTTGCAGGTGAAAATGAGATTACTGTTAGTGAAATAGAAGGGCCCCTGAGCAATCTGTTGCTGTCACTAGGGTGGTCAGGGATTTCCCATCACAAAAATCTCAAGTAATGAGATTGACTTAACTACAGGAAATGGAAAGAGAGGCATGCAGAGATCTGATGTTATTCCTAGGCTATTTTGTTAGGAGAAACATTGGACCTTTGTGGATAAAAAATGTTTTTGGCTGATATAATGCAAGAAATCAGCTGACTTTAATCTGCATTGAAATAAAGCTTCAGCTAAAACTGGCTCTCAAAGTAAAATAAATTCTCCAACCCAGTGACCAAGAAAATAGTTTTATCCAAACAACCAATGATATTCTTCCAGATTAGCACAATTAAACTTACTTTTCAGTGTGTGCGTTTGGGTCTGTACTGTATAAGCACTTTTTTCTTCAAACCCATTTTGCTTTCCTGGAATCTGTTATTTGCCCTGAATGCTTTTCTTTGCCATTTGAGGCTCAGACCTATTCATATTTACATGGTACTTATTGGATTCAGGAAGATTTTCTTCTAAATAACTTTCTGTCTCTTTTTGATTTTATTATGTTTTTGCCCTATTTTGGGACCAAGATGACATCCAAGGCAACTTACAATAACAAAAAGCAAGCAGTAAGGCTCCAAATACATTTTTATACTATAATGAACTCAGCTTCTTCTGTAGACTTTACACAGTTATCAATGGTTGTTCATTGTGAGAAAACATTCATAAAAAGATGGGGTTCATATTAGGTCAAGAGTTAAAAGTCACTTCTAAAAGTTGAAAACCCTCCAGTGTGCCTTTCAGTGGGAATCAGAATCATGTATAGACCATAGCATGAAAAATACTATGTTACCATATATGTTTATTACACATACTCACCCATACGGAACGTTTTGGGGTACAGTCACTTTTTCTCAAGTTGTTTTCACAGGAGGTAAATTCATATGTTGGAAACTTGCCACATGAAGATTCTAACTCTATAGAAATCAAAATTATCTTGATAGGACACAGAAAGAGGCCAATAGTAATTTAAGATAATTTTTCATTGAATACACTGTAAGGATATTCATTGTGCCAGACTGGATTGTTGTCATATGTACTTCATTACTGTGCTTGCAGAATATAAAAGGGCAGGGCTCTGCCAAAAGATATAGTATAGCTAACATTCGATGGAGGAGAAGCATCAGAGAAAGATGAATCATTGATTTGGTTTGCAAATTGTATTAAACTGTGATTGGTTTGCAAATTATATTAAATTGGTTTAACCTTAGATTTGTTCCCTGCCTTCTTTGGAATGGGCTTGAGGAAAAGAGCTTGCTTTTCTGAATCAAACAGACCAGGATTATTTATCACAATTTGATTTTGTTTTGCTTTCATGATCAAGACTAAACAATCTGCATTCAAATATATGAATCTTTTCATAATTTTAAAATTTTGTTTTGTTTATGCTGAAAAAATACAAATAAAGACTTGGTAGTGATAACAGAGCTATTTTTAAAGCTAGAGGGGAAGAGAGAAAAGGCCTAGGTATTGTAATATAATTAAATGGGGTTTTTTTGCATCTTTGAGAAAAGAGGACTATTGGGAAAAAAATTGACAGTAAACAAGCCATAATGACTACTTCACACATAATAGTTATAGAAAGTGGATTTACAAACATCCAGAAAGTCAAAGGGGAAGCCAGTAGGGAAATTTGCAAATTACTGGGGGTAAGTTTCCCCCAACAGCACACTGTCCATCAGCTCCACTGTGCTAGTTACCTGTGTACCCTGCACACCTTCCCTGGCCCACACAATGCCTCTCACACTTACACCCTCTCCTATCTGGCAGCAGCCACCAACCTGCCTCCAGTCCTGGGACTTGCAACTTTTTGTTGGCTTCTCCACTGATTTTGGTTGAGAAAAGCCGGCAAGAAATTGCCTCATATCTCAAATATTACTTCTTCAAATACAGAAAAATATTTTCTCCCTGAAATTTGATAAAAGCCAAATATTTTTCTTGAAAATAATTAAGGAAATAGGAATAGAGTTTTTGGACTGCGTCTGAGAGGTATTGGGACCCAAGAAGTGGCATTACGTGATTTAAGTGATAAAGAAATGATAAATGCATTTATTTAGTAGAAGCACACAATTCAAATTAAACATACTCAGTTCCACTTCAAAGATGGGTGACAAAGCCACAATAACCATCTTTTCAGTAATAGTTAATTCAATAAGAATGAAAGCCACATAGCCTCCAGAGTTTATGAAAAGTTAAATTTTAAATGGATTTGGTATGCTCAATTTAGAACAATAAAGTAAAAAAAAGAGACTATAAATATAGTAAGTTCTAATCTGAAAAAAGTATGCACAAAATTACAGTCAAAGGAAGGAAATTGCATGTAAACTCCTGAGTTTGTTTGGGGAAGGAACATGATTCTTTCAAGTAGATCAAGGGACAGCAACTTCTCTAGACCTCTAGGCCATATCAGACAATAAAGCACAGGCATGCATAGTTAAAAAATTTTAAAAAGGGAAGTTGTTGGGGCAGTTTTGAATGTACCAAATCCTTCTTGTTAGGCTCATCAATACCACACAGGTATGAAAAGGGATGGATTTTGATCATGCTGCTGCAATTGTCATCTTATCTCTGCCCCACCCCCATTGGCCGCTGATGCCCCAGAAACTGATGAATCCATGAGATCATGCAAGATTGGGAAGTCTTAGCTACAGAAGGGAGAACACAACAGGTCAGGTTGCTATCTTAGAATAGCTGATTACCTCTTCCATTTATATAATTAACTTGGAATATTTAAACAACTGAGAAATTAATTGTAAAAATTGAATTTGATGAAGTCTCTTTCTCTTAAATTACATGGACCTTTAACAAAATTCTAAGTAACATCCATATTTGTTTTGTTAGACTTTCTTTTAGCAAATCAGACATCATAAGAGAAAGAACAAATTCCAAAGATAAAATTGAGTTTGTAGGACTAAGAAAGTTAGATTAGTTTCAGAAGTATTAAACCATCATACTTCTTGAAAAAGAATTTTTCATTTGCTGGATTAGATTCAAGACTAGTTCCTGTTTTAAACATATGGGTGACACTTCTATGCTGCTTATCTGGGAATAAACCCTATGTGACACAGTGTGATTTATTTTTAATTGAACATATTTAAGATAATCTACATGTTCAGTTTAAATTTTTGTAGTGCCTTGCTCTTTTTCTAATTGATTGCATCTCATATTTCTATATTATTATTCAAATCAGTAGAAAATTGATTTTATGATCTCTTCTGACATTTTATGATGTCATAATTGTGGCTTGTTTGGTTAATACATAGTAGTTCCCCTTTCCTTATGTTTTCCCATATTTTGTTTCCCCATTCTTTGCCCTCTTGTATAATAAAAAGGGTAGTAGCAACAAAAGATAGAGAGGAAACAATTTTTATCAAAATAAAACTGCCTAGATGATGGTAGCAATATAGTGCTTATGTCCATGAAAGATGTTTGGACTGGGAAGGATTGCTCTAGATCAGAAAAATTAAT